TTGTCTTGGAGAAAATCTATATGTTTGCTAATTGTCAACAGTGGAAACTAATCAACCAATATGAAGACCCATCTCTCTGGAGAAGGCTGTAACTTTAGGGAGGGGAGGGGAGGAGGAGGGGAGCAGACAGGGGAGGAAGGGAGAGGAGAGGAGAAAATGGAGTCAGTTCTGGTCATGATGGACACACCTTAGGAAGACCTGAAAGGTCAAGTTAGGGGCAATTGTTATGGAGAACTTCTATCTGTGTGGTCAATAAGGGTCAACACAGGCATGATAGAACTTAATCAATCAGTGTAAAAAGGCAGCACTACTTGGAGAAGTCCAGAAGTTCATCATGATGGGAAATGCAGAAGGGAAGAGAAGGTTGGCTGGCAGAAAGATGGATGGACTCAGAATGGTGACGGGGGGCACCAGTGGACGATCTGAAAGACCAGGTTGGGGACAGATCTTCCTGGAGAAGACAGGGCTACTGATAAAGGAGAAGATTAATAATAATAATAATAATAATAAATAAATAAATAAATAAATAAATAAATAATAAAGTTGGAAGGGACCGTGGAGGTCATCTAGTCCAACCCCCTGCTCAGGCAGGAAACTCTATACCATTTCAGACAAATAGCTATCCAGTCTCTTCTTGAAAACCTCCAGTGTTGGAGCATTCACCTCTTCTGGAGGCAGGTTGTTCCACCGGTTAATTGTTCCAACTGTCAGGAAATTTCTCCTTAGTTCTAGGTTGCTTCTCTCCTTGATGAGTTTCCATCCGTTGCTTGTCCTGCCTTCAGGCGCTTTGGAGAACGGCTTGACTCCCTCTTCTTTGGGGCAGCCCCTGAGATACTGGAAGACTGCTATCATGTCCCCCCCTCGTCCTTCTCTTCATTAAACTAGACCTACCCAATTCCAGCAGCCGTTCTTATATGTTTTTAGCCTCCAGTCCCCTTATCCTCCAATGCTTTGTGGCTTAGGGTTGATCTGTGGGGTCCTTGATGCTCTCTGAACTGATGGGTTTCTCTGCAGATACTTCATGACCCAACTAGGGAACATCCTCAATGCTAGAAGGGAGGGAGGTTTATGGAGAGGAGGAGGGAGAATAGGAGGAGGAGGAGGAGGAGGAATATTATAGGGTCCTTGGAGCCCTCTGGACTTGGTTGTTTTCTTGCAGACGTTTCATGACCCGACTAGGTAACATCATCAGTGTTAGAAGGGAATGGGAATTGCAGGGAGGAGGAGGAGGAGGAGGAGGACTGTGAGGTCCTTGGTGCTGCGTGAGCTTGTTTCGTTTTCTTGCAAACGTTTCATGACCCAACTAGGGAACAGCATCACTGGCAGTAGGGGGGTTGCTTTCTGTTTCAATTCTGGTAGGGATGGTCTTAGAGATTCTTTGGTTGGGCTGTTTACTGTTAGCTTGGTTGACAGTTGCTTATAGGTGCTACCTTGCTCAATAGTAGTAACTGTGAGAGGGATCTCGGAGTCCCAGTGGACAATCCCTTAAATAGGAGCCAGCCGTGTGCTGCAGCTGCCCAAAAAGGCCAACACAGTGCTAGGCTGCATTAACAGAGGGAAGGAATCAAGATCACGTGAAGTGTTGATACCACTTTACAAGGCCTTGGTAAGGCCACACTTGGAATCCGGCATCCAGTTTTGGTCACCACGATGTAAAAAAGATGCTGAGACTCTAGAAAGAGGGCAGAGAAGAGGAACAAAGATGATCAGGGAACTGGAGGCTAAAGCATGTAAGGAAGAATTGCTGGAATTGGGTATGTCTAGTTTAATGAAGAGAAGGATGAGGGGGGACAGGATAGCAGAGTTCCAGGGGCTGCCCCAAAGAAGAGGGAGTCAAGCTATTCTCCAAAGTGCCTGAAGGCAGGACAAGAACAAACGGATGGAAACTCATCAAGGAGAGAAGCAACCTAGAATTATGGAAAAATTTCCTGACAGTGAGAACAATTAACCAGTGGAACAACCTGCCTCCAGAAGGGGTGGGTGCTCCATCCCTGCAGGTTTTCAAGAAGAGACTGGATAGCCATTTGTCTGAAATGGTAGAGGGTCTTCTGCCTGAGCGGGGGGTGGACTAGAAGACCTCCAAGGTCCCTTCCAACTCTGTTATTCTATTCATCAGTCCACCTCCCTCTCCTGCTCCCTTCTCTTCTCTTCTCCAGTCCACAGACATCGCTACAGCTGCATCTTCTTCCCTCGCAGCAGGCAAGCAAGCTGGAGGATGACTAATCTTGGCGCATTTCTCCCCCACTCCAGCTTCGTGTCTTTGGGGATGCAGAACATTGTCTTGGGAACTTCTATTCAGGCAGGCAGTGGGCTCTACCCTCCGCTGAAAAACTCCCACCATTTTTAAATTCCCACTTAGCGGAGGAAAAGCTAATAAGAGATTGGTACCTGAAGAAGGATTCTAAATATAATAATAATAATAATGATGATGATGATGATGATGATGATGATGATGATGATGATGATGATGATGATGTTGGAAGGGACCTTGGAGGTCATCTAGTCCAACCCCCTGCTCAGGCAGGAAACCCTATGCCATTTTGGACAAATGGCTGTCCAGTCTCTTCTTTAAAACTTCCAGCGTTGGAGCATTCACCGCTTCTGGAGGCAGGCTGTTCCACTGGTTAATTGTTCTGTCAGGAAGTTTCTCCTTAGTTCTAGGTTGTTTCTGTCCTTGATGAGTTTCCCTCCGTTGCTTCTTGTCCTGCCTTCAGGGGCTTTGGAGGATAGCTTGACTCCCTCTTCTTTGGGGCAGCCCCTGAGATACTGGAAGATTGCTATCATGTCCCCCCTCGTCCTTCTCTTCATTAAACTAGACATACCGAATTCCAGCCACCATTCCTTGTATGTTTTAGCCTCCAGTCCCCTGATCATCTTTGTTGCCCTTCTCTGAACTCTTTCCAGAGTCTCAACAACTTTTTTACATCATGGTGACCAAAACTGGATGCAGCATTCCAAGTGTGGCCTTACCAAGGCCTTGTAAAGTGGTATTAATACTTCACGTGATCTTGATTCTATCCCCCTGTTAATGCAGCCTAGCACTGTGTTGGCCTTTTTAGCAGCTGCAGCACACGGCTGGCTCATATTTAGGTGATTGTCTACTAAGACTCCGAGGTCCCTCTCACAGTTGCTACTATTGAGCAAGGTACTCCCTATACTATACCTGTACATTTGGCTTTTCTTGCCTAAATGTAGAACCTTACTTTTTTCACCCTTGAATTTCATTTTGTTAGATAGCGCCCAGTGTTCAACGGCGTGTTAAGGGCGTCTTTCTCTGTATTGAGGACTAGAGACAAAGTTTAGCATCTTGGATAAAAAAGAAAATGACTGAGGAAGGAATTGCAGGTAGTCCTCAACGTACGACCACAATGGAGCCCAAAATTTCTGTTGCTAAGCGAGAGGAGTTGTTAAGGGAGCTTTTGCCCCATTTTACGACCTTTTTGGCCGCAGTGGTAAAGTGAATCGCTGCGCTTGTTAAGCTAATCACGCTGTTGTGAAGTGAATCCGGTTTCCCCCATTGACCTTTGCTTGTCAGAAGGTCACAAAAGAGGATCACGTGATCCCAGGGACACTGCGACCGTCGTAAACGTGAGTCAGTTGTCAAGCGTCCAGATTTTGATTACGTGACTGCAGGGGGTGCTGCAACAGTCGTAAGTGTAAAAGAGGGTCATCCGTTGCTTTTTCCAGTGCTGTTGTAACTTCGAGCGGTCACTAAATGAACTGTTGTAAGTCGAGGACTGCCTGTACTTTATAAAATGCTTTGCTAAAATTGAGACAGATAGCACGCATCACGTTCCCACCATCTGCATTCAGAGCCATCTGCAGCCTAGATTTTTTTAAAAAAAAAATAAAGTAAGTTTCGTAAAAGCACGCAATCTACGGTAGATTGAAAGAAAGAAAAAAGAAAGAAAGAAAGAAAGAAAGAAAGAAAGAAAGAAAGAAAGAAAGAAAGAAAGAGGGAGAGAGAAGAAAAAGGGAAGAAAAAAGAAAGGGAAGGAAGGAAGGAAGGAAGAAAAAGAAGGAGGGAGAGAGGGAGGGAAAAGAAAGAAAAAAGAGAGAAGAAAAAGAAAGGAAAGAAAGATAGAAGGAAGGAAGAAAAAGAGAAAGAGGGAGAGAAGAAAAAGAAAGGAAAGAAAAAAGAAAGGGAAGGAAGGAAGAAAAAGAAAGAGAGGGAGGGAGAGGGAAGAGAAAGAAAGAAAAAGAGAAAGAAAAGAAAGAAAGAAAGAAAGAAAGAAAGAAAGAAAGAAAGAAAAAGGAAGGAAGGAAGGAAGGAAGGAAGGAAGGAAGGAAGGAAGGAGAGAAGAAAAAGAAAGAAATGAAAAAAGGGAAGGAAGGAAGAAAAAGAAAGAAGGAGGGAGGGAAAGGGAAGAGAAAGAAAGAAAGAAAGAAAGAAAGAAAGAAAGAAAGAAAGAGGAGAAGAAAAAGAAAGGAAAGAAAAAAGAAAGGGAAGGAAGGAAGAAAAAGAAAGGGAGGGAGGGAGAGGGAAGAGAAAGAAAGAAAGAAAGAAAGAAAGAAAGAAAGAAAGAAAGAAAGAAAGAAAGGGAAGGAAGGAAGAAAAAGAAGGGAGGGAAGAGAAAAAGAAAGAAAGAAAGAAAGAAAGAAAGAAAGAAAGAAAGAAAGAAAGAAAGAAAGAAAGAAAGAAAGAAAAAAGGGAGAGAAGAAAAAGAAAGGAAAGAAAAAGGGAAGGAAGGAAGAAAAAGGGAGGGAGGGAGAGGGAAGAGAAAGAAAAAAGAAAGAAGGAAGAAAAGAAAGAAAGAGGGAGAAGAAAAAGAAAAAAGGGGCGGAAGGAAGAAAAAGAAAGAAGGAGGGAGGAAGAGGGAAAAGAAAGAAAGAAAGAAAGAAAGAAAGAAAGAAAGAAAGAAAGAAAGAAAGAAAGAAAGAAAGAAAGAAAGACCAGATCTGAACCCAGAGCCCATCTGCTAGATTTCACAGCTGCCTGGTCTTAATTCTCACCCTGAATCTTCCTCTTCCTCTCTCCTTGTCATCTTCTCCCCATCCAGCTGGCCTTGGCTTCACTGCCAAAACCTGTGGTGTGACTGCTATGTCCTTGCCAGGAAGCAGAAGACCCTCGACGGGATCCCGAAGGTGAATATGATTTCCTTCTTTCTCCTCCCCGTGGAAGGTGGGTGCCTGCAGCAGTTGGCCCATTCACACAAAGCAAAGCCTCTCTCTGGCACTTCCCCCGGGAGAGCTTTCCCACGAAAACACGTCTCGTCTGGCAGCAGACAAGAGTCCCGTCCTTCTCAGGTGCCCATAGGGAGGGGTTAAAAAAATGGCAGGTGTGATGGAGCATCAAATTCCACCCACTTTATTATTATTATATTTTATTATGTTATGTTATGTTATACTATATTATACTATACTACACTAATTACTATACTATACTATACTAATACTATACTATATTATACGATACTATATTATGCTATATTATATTATACTATAGCATACTATACTATATACTATATTATACTATATTATATTGTACTATATTGTACTATACTATACTATATTATACTATACTGTATTATACTATACTATATTATATTATACTATAGTATACTATACTATAGTATATTATATTATACTATATTATACTATACTATAGTATACTATACTAATACTATATTATGCTATACTATACTATACTATATTATACTGTATTATACTATACTAATACTATACTATACTAATACTATACTATATTATACTATATTATACTATACTATATTATACTATATTATATTATACTATACTATATTGTACTATATTATACTATACTATACTATACTATATATTATATATTACATTATTATATTGTATTATATTATATTATATTATATTATATTATATTATTGTTAGTTAATTTAATTTAATTTTTATTTTATTATTTTATTTTTACTTTATTTTATTATTTTAATTTTATTTATTTATTTGCTTACCTGTCTGTATTATTTGTATAAATAACGGAAAGACGGTGAACATACCTAATACTCCTTCCTCCTCCTCCTCCTCAGAAGACTGCCTCTGCCATTGAAGTGGACGGATTTAAAATTCAATTCAATTCCATACTTCATTTAGCCAAGTGTGATTAGACACACAAGGAATTTGTCATACCAATAAAAGGGGGAAGTAAAGAACGACAAGGATAAACAATGACACTACAGCCACACCGTTATGGGTTAATATACCTTGTGTATAAAATAAACTTGTGTCGCACTCTCTTTGAAAGAGCAGAACAATTGGATAGCTGTGTCTCGGTAACACAAAATAAGCCAACAATGAAACAAAGCTTAGAATTCTTCGAATCAAGCTTGACCTTACTCAGTAATAAAATTTGGACCAACATAAAGCTAAAAGTTTCTGTTTTAAGTAGCAAAACCTCCATGCTATTCCAGAGATTATGTCCAGTTCCTTATCTGGGGGTGGAACTTTTAATATTTACTGTTATTAACTATTAAGATTGAACACTTCATGGAAGTTATACTGATCGTTTTTAAGTTTCTCATAGGAGATAAGAAACAGTGGATTCGGGGGTAGAGCGAAATAGATTTAAACCAGTGTTTCTCGACTTAGAATCTCCTGGCTGCCTTAACCACTAGCCTAAACTGGCTCTTTATATAAACATTATATAAACCATAAGAAAGGCTTATGAAAAAGAAAGGACCCTAAGAAAGGCTGAGCGCCAAAGAATGGAGGCCTTTGAACTCTGGTGCTGGAGAAGACTCCTGTGAGTCCCCTGGACTGCAAGGCGATCCAACCGGTCAGTCCTGGAGGAGATCAACCCCGACTGCTCTTTAGAAGGCCAGATCCTGAAGTTGAAACTCAAGTCCTTTGGCCACCTAAGGAGAAGGAAGGACTCCCTGGAGAAGAGCCTAATGCTGGGAAAGATGGAGGGCAAGAGAAGAAGGGGACGACAGAGAAGGAAAGGGCTGGAGGGAGTCCCTGAAGCAGGAGGCGTGAGCTTCAATGGACTCCAGAAGATGGTAGAGGACAGGAAGGCCTGGAGGAACGTGGTCCATGGGGTCGCAATGGGTCGGACACGACTTCGCAATTAACAACAACAACAACATATAAACGTTATATAAAAGTTAGCTACTTTAAGATGGGTAGACTGAAGTCCATCGACCTTAAAGTTGCCATAATTGCAAAACACCGTGGTAGATGGACATGATGAAAATGATTTGTGTCAAATGATATAAACTAGGGTTAGATTTTCTGTTCTTTCTTGTTTTCTTCCTTGAATCGTCTCGTCCCTTTTTTGCGTTTTGCACAACATTGCTTAACCTGCAAAGAAAAACCCTGTTAGATGGTAGGCACCCATGATCCAACAAGTTCCTCTACTTTTATTTGCCTTTTTTTCCCCCCTCACCTTTTGAGTTTATTAAATATCAAGGGATTTGACCCACATCGCTGGGTGACCTTCCTTTTTTATTTTTTTATTTTTTTGGCCCCATTTCCTAAAAGGGTTACAAATCACCTTTTGGGGATCCAATGACCAGCAAGAACAATAATTGGTATATTCCAAGGATGGGTTGCGGTGTACATTTGCATGTAGACATTGTGTTATTGGAAGTTTGATTTGCTCTCTTCCCTATGCGATAATTTTATTATTGGTAGTTCGATTTGCTCTCTTCCCTATGCGATAACTTAATTATTGGTAGTTTGGTTTTCTTCCTTCCGTGTGTGATAACTTAATTTTCGGAATTCCCGAGCGTGCGTGGCCATCATTGAGAATTTGGGGGATCAATCCACATATAGCAGTGGTTCTCAACCTTTTTAATGTCACAACCCCCAACCGGTCGTAAGTCGAGGACTACTCAACTGGTACAGCACCGTTTGCAGAATGGGACTTTTGGCGGGCTCAGCAGGGCAGACAGCCTGGACAATTCCTATTGGCTTTCGAAAGCCAATAGAATTAGATTCTATTCAAGAGAGTCTATTCTATTGGCTTTCAAAAGCCAATAGAATAAAAGGGAGTAGCACAGCTAAGGAAAAGGGGGGGGGGGAATGGCGGACTGCGTTGTTTGGCGACCCCCGTGAAATGGTCGTTCGACCCCAAATGGGGTCCCGACCCACAGGTTGAGAACCACTGACATATAGGAAGATGCCCAGTTTGGGGAGAACTGAGTTACGGAGGATAAGAAGGGGAGAGAGCTCTATAGATCCCCCACACCCATCACCCACCCCCTGTATGCACCCCCTGTTGCTCCTTGTAGAGAAGCTGTAGCCCCCTTCCCTTGTGATCTCCTGTTTGCACGGTCCTACTTTTTACCTTGATTCTCTTCTCCTGTCTTGTGCATTTGTGTTCCCTCGGGTTGTGGAAGCCGTGAGTTTTACGGAAGGAGTGGCTCTGCCTCCCTCTATAAGTCTGCAACGGCCCCAGCCACTCCGACGGAGAAACAGCTTCTTCTTCCCGCCTCCAGGCGCCCCTCCCCGCCCGTCAGTATGCGCGACACCTACGGCACCTCTTCGCTCAGCAGCAGCAGCAATTCCGGCTCCTGTAAGGGCAGCGACAGCAGTCCCACGCCAAGGTAATGCCAGGGGGCGCCACTGAGCACGCAGGTCCAGGCCGAAGGGCCAGCCTGCCCAGTCTGGTGACAACAGCACAGCGCAGTGGTTAAAGTGGAGTATTGCAGCTACTTCTGCTGATGGCTGCCTGCCTGTCTGCCTGCCTGCCTGCAGTTCGGCCGTTTGAGTCTCACCGGCTCAAGGTCGACTCAGCCTTCCGTCCTTCCGGGGTCAGTAAAATGAGGACCCAGATTGTTGGGGGGCAAATAGGCTGACTCTGTAAACTGCTTAGAGAGGGATGGAAAGCCCTGTGAAGCGGTATATAAGTCTAAGGGCTATTGCAACATTTTCCTTCCGTCCTTCCTTCCTTCCTTCCTTCCTTCCTTCCTTCCTTCCTTCCTTCCTCCCTCTTTCCCTTCCCTTCTCTCCTTCCTTCCTTCCTTCCTTTCTCCTCTCCTTTCTTCTTTCCTTCCTTCCTTCTTCCCTCCTTCCCTCCCTGCCTCCCTCTTTCCCTTCCCTTCTCCTCCCCTCTCCTTCCTTCCTTCCTTCCTTCCTTCCTTCCTTCTTTTCTTCCTTCCTTCTTCCCTTCCTGCCTCCCTTTCTCTTCCCTTCCCTTCTTTTCTACTCCCCTCTTCCTTCCTTTCTTCCTTCCTTCTTCCCTCCCTGCCTCCCTTTCTCTTCCCTTCCCTTCTCCTCCCCTCTCTCCTTCCTTCTTTCCTTCCTTCCTTCTTCCCTCCTTCCCTCCCTGCCTTCCTCTTTCCCTTCCTTTCCCTCTCCCCTTCCTTCCTTCCTTCCTTCCTTCCTTCCTCCCTCCCTCCTTTTCCTTTTGGTCTCTTTTTCCTTCCTCTGAGTCCTGGTGCCGCAGTGGTTAGAAGGCAGAACTGCAGGCTAATTCTTTTGACTGCCATCAGTTCGATCCTGACCAGCTCAAGGCTGACTCAGCCACCCATCCTTCCGAGGTCAGTAAAATGAGGACCCGGATTGTTGGGAGCAATATGCTTAGAGAGGGCTGTAAAGCACTGTGAAGCGATATATAAGCCTAAGTGCTCTCACTGTTACTATTTTTGCTGATTTTAACCCCCACACTGTCCCAGTTTTGCTTCAGTTTGCAATGCTACCTACTGCAAGGCAACATTGCAGGCTGGCTCTGCCCACTGCCTGCAGTTCGATTCTCACTGGCTCAAGGCAGACTCAGCCTTTCATCCTTCTGAGGTCAGTAAAGTGAGGAGCCAGATTGTCGGGGGCAAAAGGCTTGACTCTATAAACCGTTCAGAGAGGGCTGTAAAAGCACCGCGAAGCGATGCAGAGCTCCAAGAAGCGCACAAAACGTAACCTGTGTGTTCACACTTCTCCTAATGTACACTTTCCATGCGTCATGCCTATGAATCACATTTTGGCAAGCAGTGTTCCAGAACAGGTACAGGAAGTCCTCAACTTACAACCGTTCATTTAGTGACCGTTCAAAGTTGCAGCAGACGCTGGGAAAAACGACTCATGATCGTTTTTCACACTTAACGACCATTGCAGCATCCCTGTGGCCATGGGATCAATATTTGGACACTTGGCAACCGACTCATACTTGTGACGGTTGCAGTGTCCTGGGGTCACGTGATCCCCTTTGGCGACCTTCTGAGCCGAGGTGGCGCAGCAGTTAGAGTGCAGTACTGCAGGCCACTTTGGCTGACTGTGTTCAGCAGGTCAGCAGTTCAAATCTCACCGGCTCAAGGTTGACTCAGCCTTCCATCCTTCCGGGGTAGGTAAAATGAGGACCCAGATTGTTGGGGGCAATGTAAAATATATATATATACATTGCTTACTGGTGTACACCGCTTAGAGAGTGCTTGCACTTAAAGCGGTATATAAGTCTCATAAATAAATAAATAAATAAGCAATGTCAAGGCACAGCTGTGAGCTGTGCCCCATTTTACCACCATTCTTGCCTCGGTTGTTAAGTGAATCACTGTGGTTGTTAAGTGAGTAACAGGGTTGTTAAGTGAATCTGGCTTCCCTCATTGACTTTGCTTGTCCAAAGGTCGCAAATGGTGATCAAACAAACCCAGACACTGCAACCATCATAAATGTGAGTCAGTTGCCAAGCATCTGAATTTTGATCACGTGACCCCTGGAGGTGCTGCAACGGCCGTAAGAGTGAAAAACAGCCATAGGGCACTTTTTTCAGTACCGTTGTAACTTGGAATGGTCAATAAATAAATAAATGGTCAATAAATAAACTTACAAATAGTTATAAGTCAAGGATTACCTATACTTGAGGTGCAGTTCACTTCCAATTGTGATAATCTACTGATCCTCTTCAGGTATGTTCAGCCCAAAATTTCTGTTGTTAAATGAGACATTTGTTAAGTACATTTTAATAATAATAATAATAATAATAATAATAATAATAATAATAATCACCATTGGCATTGACAAATTTGCTATTAATCAATTGCAAAAGGCGGCCTTATTAGGAACTGCTTCCATCCTGCGACGATATCTGTAATACCATCAAACATCCACATCTCCCTATCCCAGGTCCTGGGTAAGCACTCGATAGGTAGACAAAATGCCAAATCCAGTCTGAACATCTGGCTGACTGTGCGATAATCGATAATAATAATAATAATAAAGTTGGAAGGTACCTTGGCGGTCATCTAGTCCAACCATTTCAGACAAGTGGCTGTCCAGTTTCTTCTTAAAAACTTTTGCCCCACTTGATGGTCTTTCTAGTCAAATGGTCGTTAAGCGAATCACTACAGTGTTTAAGTTAGTCACACAGTCATTCAGTGAATCCAGCTTCCCCCTTGACTTTGCTTGTCAGGCGGTCACAAAAAGGGATCACGTGACCCTGGGACCCTGTGCCCATCAGTTGCCAAGTGTTTGAATTTTGATCATGTGACCACGGGGATGCTGCTGTAACTTTGAACAGTCACTAAATGAACTGTTTGTAAGTCAAGGACGACCTGTAATGTCAAGGCAATGATTTAGAAGCTAAGCAGCTTGTCTAATGGGAGATGAATGATGCAGTGTTAGGAATGACTCAGCAGGGTCTGTGTCCCTTTAAGAGCCTGAGTAAAAAAGGGAAGAGTCTTTCTCTCTCAGTCCGTTTCCTGCTGTAACTGTTGCGTGTTGGAGTTTGCCAAATGACCACATGTATGTATTCTGTTCCTAGTGTGTACATTGTAGATACAGTAGTGGTCAAAATGGTGGAAACCTTTTGGGAAAAGCGTACAGTAGAAATGCTACCTTTGGTTAAGTTCTCACCCATTTTTCTTCTAATTTCTTTATAACTGTAGCCTTGTTCACTTAATGATACTATTTTACATCGCTTTCTGGGCAACTGGTCAACTCTTTGCACCATGACTTTCATTTTATTAGTTTTACAAGCTCACTCGGGAAAAATACAAAAAAACCCCAACCGACTTGATAGCGATCACATAACACACCAACCAATGTCCTCCTCTCAGCTTCAATACAGGACCTCAATCACTGGATCCTATTGTGATCTGATTGGCTCATGGCCAAAACAAGATGGCACCCAATTGGCTCTCTAAACACTCACGCTCATTGGCTACAATCAGATGAAGGAAAGCTACCTGATATCAACCTGAGCAAGTTGTGCTTCCTTTTTCTGGTTATTTGGCTATAACTTTTCATAGAATACAATACAGATCATTGAACAAACTTTGTTGCATTACATTCTTGATTAAATTATCTTTCCATTGATATATAATTTTATGGTACTACTGCAAAAAAAAAAGTGGTGTTATTAGCCATCCAACCTCAAAAATACACTTTTCCCAAAGGGGTTTCCACAATTTTGGCCACGACTGTAGGATATGATAAACCACCATTTAATACATACCAATGTATTTACTCCTGAGTTACCTCAGCACAATAAGACTGTGCCTGCTCTGACATGTAATAACAACAGAAAAGCAATAAAAAATGCCTGTAAAACCCTGGGAAAATGGAACGGCCTTCAGTGCGTGCTGAAATTTAGTTATTCTGGAGGCTAGGCCAGGCCCTCTTGAGGACAAATACGTGGATGGGAGGCCACCACAGAACGAGCTCTGCCCTTGTAGAGGTCCTCCTCACTTTGTGGTGAGAAGAAGGCCGGTTCTGGGGACCGGCCATGAATTTGGGAGAGAGGCAATAAAATTCGGAGCCTGGCCAGTCCCCACTAGACGTGTGTCTTCCGTGTTGTGAGGATAAAGACCTGTCTTCCTTCTATATATCTGTCTGGTCTTCTCCAATCCCACCCTCCATTCTGCATCCTTTGTCTCTTATGTGTTGCTTCATCAATCCCTCTAGAGCAGTGGTTCTCAACTTTTTAATGCCGTGACCCCCAACAGGTCGTAAGTCGAGGACTACTCAACCGGTCGTAAGTCGAGGACTACTCAACTGGTGCAGCACCGTTTGTAGAATGGGACTTTTGGCGGGCTCAGTAGGGCAGAGACAGCTTGGACAATTCCTATTGGCTTTGGAAAGCCAATAGAATCAGACTCTATTCAAGAGAGTCTATTCTATTGGCTTTCAAAAGCCAATAGAATAAAAGGGAGTAGCACAGCTAAGAAAAAGGGAGGAAAAAATGATGGACTGCGTTGTTTGGCGACCCCCGTGAAATGGTCGTTCGACCCCAAATGGGGTCCCGACCCACAGGTTGAGAACCGCTGTTCTAGAGCGAGGAGAAGACCAGGATGGTGGCTTTTCCCCCCATCTCTTAGAAACCTAGAAAAAAAAAAGGGAGCATCTTTAGAACCAAGCACAGCTTATGCATCGAGCACACCCCAGTCTGGCAGAGGTAGCAATGCAATTGGCTGAAGGGAGGGGCAGCAAGGTCACCCCGTTGTGTGAACAGGTGGGGAAAAGTGGACAAACCTCCTTGCAGATCTATGGAATTCAAAGGAAGGGAGGGAGAAAGGAAGGAAGGAAGGAAGGGGATAGAAAGAAAAGGGAGGGAGGAAAGAAGAAAGAGAAGAAGGAAGAGAAAGGAAGAAAGGAAGGAAGGAAGGAAGGAAGGAAGGAAGGAAGGAAAGAAGGAGAGGGGATAGAAAGAAAAGGGAGGGAGGAGGAAGGAAGGAAGGAGAGAGATGGGATAGAAAGAAAGGGAGGGAGGAAGGGAACAAGGAAGAGAAAAAGAAAAGAAAGAAAAATGATAGAGTGGGAGGTTGATCTTGATGAGGAAGGAAGGAGAGATGGCATAGAAAGAAAAGGGAGGGAGGGAGGGAGGAAGGGAAGAAGGAGGAAAAAAAGGAAGAGAAAGAAAGAAAGAAAGAAAGAAAGAAAGAAAGAAAGAAAGAAAGAAAGAAAGAAAGAAAGAAAGAAAGGAAAAAGAATGAAAAGGAAAGAAGGGGGCTAGAAAGAAAAGGGAGGGAGGAAGGAAGAAAGAAAGGGAAGAAGGAAAAGAAAGGAAGAAAGAAAGAAGAAGAAAGGAGAGGGGATAGAAAGAAAAGGAAGGGAGGAGGAAGGAAGAAAGGGAAAGAGGAGGAAGGAAGGAAGGAAGGAAGGAAGGAAGGAAGGAAGGAAGGAAGGAAGGAAGGAAGGAAGGAGAGAGGGGATAGAAAGGGAGGGAGGAAGGAAGGGAACAAGGAAGAGAAAAAGAAAAGAGAAAAATGATAGAGTGGTAGGTTGATCTTGATGAGGAGGAAGGAAGGAGAGACGGCAGAGAAAGAAAAGGGAGGGAGGGAGGGAAGAAGGAAGAAAGAAAGGAAGAGAAAAGAAGGAAGGAAGAAAAAGAAAGAAAGAAAGAAAAGAAAAAGAATGAAAAGGGAGGAAGGAAGGGGGCTAGAAAGAAAAGGGAGGGAGGGAGGAAGAAAGAAAGGGAAGAAGAGAAAGAAAGAAGAAGGAAGGAGAGGGGATAGAAAGAAGGGAGGGAGGAGGAAGGAAGAAAGGAAGGGAGGAAGAAAGAAGAGAGGGGATAGAAAGAAAGGGAGGGAGGGAGGAAGGGAACAAGGAAGAGAAAGAAAAGAAAGAAAAATGATAGCGTGGGAGGTTGACCTTGATGAGGAAGGAAGGAACGCTGTTAGTTACCTCTCCCTCTCTTTCCAGGCGCCCCGTCAAGTACCTCCTCTGTAGTGACAACCATGGGATCAAGCCCCCGACACCTGAGCAATATCTCACCCCCCTCCAGCAGAAAGAGGTCTGCATCCGGCACCTGCGGGCCAGGCTGAGGGACACTCACGAGAGGCTGCAGGACAGGTGAGCAGCCGGGGCAGAGAAGGGGGGCTTTCCCTCCCTTCTGGAGGCCCTTGATTTTCCAGGTTAAGTCCTTCAGGAGAAAATATTGAACGTGGCATCCTATCCTTTTTTGATACATATGTGATATCCGTGTTGTCACCCCCCTTCGATTAATCTTTCATCAATGTTTTAATTCAAAAGTCAATTGATCAGTCAGTCAAAATTACAGATTCAGTATATTCAGCCACTTTGAGCTTGGTTATTTTCTTGCAAATGTTTCATGACCCGGCTAGGGAACATCATCAGTGTGAGTAAGTGTGGAGTTTGCTCCCTCTTTATGTACAGTAGCTTGCCCTGCCAGTGTTGGTGGGGGTACCTACAGTTTACTCTTTGGCAGTTCCTTGATTAGGATATTGTTTTCTCCTTGGGCGCCTGGTGTTAGTCCCTGTGGTTGTAAGTCAAGGACTACTTGTATTATCAAATAGGGCAGGGGTGGCGAACCTATGGCACGCGTGCCAGAGGCGGCACTCAGAGCCCTCTCTGTGGGCACATGTGCCGTTGCCCCAGCCTTGCCTCGCCCCGTGAGCCCCTCCTCTCCAGCAGCCCCCCTGAAGGAGAGTTGCCCCTGAGCATGGCCCAAACGGAGCAGCGCAGCCAAGGACATGGCAGCCAGGCAGCGTAGACAAGACTCTGCCCTCACACCTCATCGTGCACAGTTGATGCTGCAGGGCGCGGGCAGAGGACATGGCCACCATAGCGCTGCTGGGCTGCCTGGGTGATCTGTGGCGGGCCCTGGAGGCAGTGAGTGGCCCTGCAGGCAGGCGGGGCAGGGGATGGGGGGGCGGATCGGGGGCAGAGCAGGGGGTGGAGCAGGGGCGGGGCCAGTTTTTGGGCACTCGGTCTCTAAAAGGTTCGCCATTACTGAAATAGGGTCTCTGAAATATAATCCTGTGCCTAGCAGAAGCTCTATTCAGCACTGTGTGCGTTATACTCTCATGTAAATGCAGAGAGGGTTCCAGAAAACAAGCAAAGACATCAGCACTGCCCTGTATGTAGAATTTAACCCAACCCTAATAATGTGTTTTGGCACCCAATGCGGTACTGTATGTTGCGATCCGCCCAGTGACCATCTACTACAGTGGTTCTCAACCTGTGGGTCGGGACCCCATTTGGGGTCGAATGACCATTTCACAGGGGTCGGCAAACAACGCAGTCTGCCATTTTTCCCCCTTTTCCTTAGCTGTGCTACTCCCTTTTATTCTATTGGCTTTTGAAAGCCATTAGAGTAGACTCTCTTGAACAGAGTCTAATTCTATTGGCTTTCAAAAGCCAGTAGGAATTGTCCAAGCTGTCTCTGCCCTGCTGAGCCCGCCAAAAGTCCCACTCTGCAAACGGTACTGCACCAGTTGAGTAGTCCTCGACTTACGACCGGTTGAGTAGTCCTCGACTTACGACCGGTTGGGGGTCGCGGCATTAAAAAGGTTGAGAACCACTGATCTACTACTTGTTTGTCACTGCAGGGATGGCGAGATTGAAGACCTGAAGACCCAACTCTCAAGGATGCAAGAAGACTGGATTGAAGAAGAATGTCACCGAGTGGAGGCTCAGCTGGCTCTCAAAGAAGCCCGGAAGGAGATCAAGCAGCTCAAGCAGGTCATCGACACCGTCAAGAATAACCTGATCGAGAAGGACAAAGGCCTCCAGAAGTACTTTGTGGACATCAACATTCAGAACAGGAAGCTGGAGACGCTGCTGCACAGCATGGAGGTTGCGCAGAATGGGGCGGTCAAAGAGGAAGGGCACACCGAGTCGGCTGGGGGATCTCCTGCACGCTCGCTCACCCGCAGTTCCACGTACACCAAGCTGAGTGACCAGGGAGCGACGGACAGGAACATCGGCGGCTCGCAAACCATCTCCGTGGACGACGGAGCTGATAGCGGCTTCGTGGCTGCAGAGAACTCCTTGAGCCGGACAGATTTGTTGGACCACAGCAGCCTCCTGTCCTCAGGTGTGGAGTGTGGTCCTGACGATGCCTCGTCCCTACACACCTCCTACACCCTGGGGTCCCAGATGCCCACCAGCTCCACGTACGAGAAACTAACGGGATCTCAGCAGAGCGTGGAGGCCGCCGTACAAGCTAGCTGCATGCAGGAACAAGCCATCCAGACAGACTTCGGACATTACCAGCCAGATCTGGACACCATCTTGGAGAAGGTCATGAAGTCTCAAGCGGGCAGCCTCGCCAGTCCTACCTCGGAGTGGCCCTCTGAGATTGAAGAGGTGGCCGAGCCCACCAGCTCAGAGGGTTGTGTCCCCAACTGCTCAAACCACACAGACAGGACAACCCTCGAACCCGTCTCTGCTGTCGTGGTCAATGCTGGAGAACCCACCGAGAAGCCCGATGGCCAGCCGGCCTCGCGAAACCCGGCTGTGCATCAACCTTGCAGCGCCAGCCCATCCGTGAGCATCGTCTGTAGCCCTGAAGATGAGGCAACTGAGCCAGGACAGGACACCGCGGGGGCGGCAGCCCCAGTGGACTCTTCAGCCGAGCCCAAAACTTACTGGAGCCGCCATTTCCTTGTGGATCTCTTGGCCGTGGTTGTGCCTGCAGTGCCTACGGTGGCTTGGCTGTGCCGTTCGCAGCGGAGGCAGGGGCAACCCATTTACAACATCAGCTCTCTGCTGCGGGGTTGCTGCACAGTCGCCCTGCACTCGATCCGGAAGATCAGCTGCCGGTCAGTCACCAACGTGAGCAGCACTTGCTCTCCGCCATAACCTCTTCCTTCTTCCCCACCCAACCGACTCTGTCATGTGCACATACATCTGCTTTGTCGCCCTCGGAGCGTTCAGGGTTTAGGGGACCACGATTGTAAATCCCGTACGCACAACTTGAATTTCTCTTTCCTGTTACCTTATTTATTTAGCGCACGGGTGGGTCGACTTGACCGGGCATCCCGATGTGCTGGATCTTGATTTATGCAAAATAACTTGTGAGAAGCCATTGCTGTGGTGGCCCTGGCACAGCGTGGACAGGACAGGACCGTCTTCTCCTTGCTGAGAAACCGTCTCCTTTCAGGGATGCTGCTCTTGAAAACTCAAACTTGGCTTTAGGAAACGTGTGTCACGTGTCCCACATGATTGGCTGACTCCCTTCTCCCTCCTCTTAACATCTGAATGTTTTTGAGTGATCCAGAAAACGTCCCTCCATTGTCGCGGCCTCCCTCGTCTCTCTTTCCTGCTTTTTCCAAGTGTCATTCTCTAACCAGCCCTGAGTCTACCTCACCTTCCCGCGATCATCTCCCGTCCTGCTTAAGTCCAGATCCGTCCATGTTCTTCACCTTACAGGAGCCTGTCTTGCAGCATGGCTGGCTGGGGAATTCTGGGAGTTGAAGTCCACCCATCTTCCAGCGGCCAAGATTGGAAACCACTGCAGTAGGAGAAGGACTCTTATCTGCTTTGCAGAGAGGAGGCAGATGTGTGCAACAGCAGCTCCCCAAATTCCCCTGGTCCCCTTTTCTACATACACACACATACACACACACACATACACACACATACACACACACACACACACACACACAGAGAGATTTCCAGAGGTCTGACTGCATCTTCTGTCTCCTTGCAAACTGGTGGCTTCTTTCCCTTGTTTCTTGTTATCTAAGACAAGGGTCCCCAACCCACAGTTGACAGTCTGGACCCAGTCTGCGGCCCGTTGGGAACCGGGCCATGCAAGTGGTGGGCAAGTACGCAAAGCTCCATTTGCAAAAGCAGCGAGCACACGTGCAAAGTCATCCCCTCTCCTCCCCACTACCACCGCCGCCACTGCCAGTCTGTGAAGCCAGAAAGGTTGAGGACCACAGATCTAAGAGAGATAAAACAGAGAGCAAAGCTCACTCCCTTCTAGCACTGATGATGTTACCTAGTTGGGCAATGAAACTTCTGCAAGAAAACAACCAAGCTCAGAGAGCACCAAGGACCCCACAGTCGTCGTCACCATCCTCCTCCTCCTCCACCACCACCACCACCTTCTTCTTCTCCTCCTCTTCCTCCTCCTTCTCCTCCTCCTCCTCCTCCTCCCCACTTCGCAAACCTCATCCCTTCTAGCACTGATGATGTTACCTAGTTGGGCAGTGAAACGTCTGCAAGAAAACAACCAAGCTCAGAGAGCACCAAGGACCCCACAGTCATCGTCACCGTCCTCCTCCTCCACCACCACCACCACCACCTTCTTCTTCTCCTCCTCTTCCTCCTCCTCCTCCTCCTCCTCCTTCTCCTCCCCACTTCGCAAACCTCATCCCTTCTAGCACTGATGATGTTACCTAGTTGGGCAATGAAACATCTGCAAGAAAACCACCAAACTCAGAGAGCATCAAATATCCCACAGTCATCATTGTCGTCCTCCTCCTCCTCACACATCCCACTCCCTTCTAACACTGATGATGTTACCTGGTTGGGTCATGAAATGTCTCCAAGAAAACCACTAAGCTCAAAGACCACCAAGGACTCCTATAGATCAATCCTGAGCCACATATATTCTCCTCTAAAGGTATCTAAGATGGTGCAGAAGTCTTGCAGAACCCCAAATCCTGATCTGGACATTTGGGGGGGACAGGCTTGCTAGAATAACACGAAGCCCACTGCTTTCTAGTATGACCCCAATTCAACAATAGACATAAGGTTTGCAAATCACTTCACTGGCAAGCTCGCTTCACGCCACCATCACTACCGCCTACCCTTTTGGTACAGGTGTTGTCCTTAGTCAAACTACCCTTGTGTTTCTAGTGAAGAGAGAACACACCCAATCACCTTTGTAATTTGCATCATTTTGGAACAGCCCTTCCTACAAAGGTCTGCCGTTTCATTGGGTTTTATAACGCAAACTGTAGGCCAGCCTCCTCATCCCGTCCGCTGTTCGGACTCCTCTCTTTCCCCAAGCCTCAGTCTAGTAGAGCTAGTTGGTGTACCGTAGGAGAAAGTCAGCACTTTGTTCAGAGATTCTGTACTGTCACGACGCTTCTTCCAAGGCTAACTCTTGGCGAACCTTGCCTCAGATTACGTCCTGTCTGCAGATACAACACGATGCTGCACCATTTGGCCAATATCTGGGAACGCAACCCTGGAGCCACCCACGCCAGAGGAAATGTAGTCGGGGGTTCCACCTGCCCCCATCGGTGCCAGCCCTTCTTTCCAGAAATGTTTTCGCAAGACAGACAGAGGACTCGGGTGTCATTCCCTTCCCCTCCAAGAATGTTGTGAAATGTGTCGAATCGTGAGCGCGGCGCGCAAGGGTGCCCGCAGACACGTCGCTCGCCCCCGTCACGTTTGTGAGACTTTCTCAACCGTTTGCTCTGAGCCCACTCCGCCCTCTGCGTTTTGGAAAATGCTCCTGGGAACAAAGATGACGAGAAGGCAGAGATATACCTCACATGGAGCAACCTGCCGTCTCCTCCCTGGGGTCAAAGAAGCCCTTAAGTTTGTTTTCTTTCGCTTTGCACTATGTTCACTTTTGGCAAACGTGGAACGCTACTGTCCTAGTTGATCGGTTTAGGCGTTCCAGTGGTGGGTTGCTCTCTTCGGCGATGCTAACCCTGGAGAGGCTAAACGTGGAGCAGGCTCCAGCATACTGTGTGCCCCCCACCTGGTTGCTACTTTTGCCCATCCAGTAGACAAGAATGTCAAGCTACTAGCTTGATGCAACCCTTGAGTAGTTCAAGACCTGGACATGGACCGTGGTTATGGTACTGGCCTAGGAAAATGTGCCTCCTTCGGGTTTCCATTGTTTGCTTGTAATGTATAAGACAAACAATCAAGGGGAGTAGAGAAACTGACTAGATGGAGATTAAACTCCACATCCCTTTGAGATGAGGAGGGGGAAAAATGGGTAAACCAATATCACACTGTCTTAAATTCTGTGGCTGCCATTTCATCCAAGCTAGCAAAAGACCCCCTATTTACAACCATCCGTGAGCAAAAGCAGTGGCTGGATGGGGCCATTCTTGCGAAGGAATGTAAACTCTCTTAAGATCCCTTTCGCTGGGACCAAGCCACATGCTGACCGGCTTCACTCATCACACTAAACTGTTATACGGCAGGCTTGTTTGTGCAGTTTGTGTGGGTTTGCATTGAATCATGAGGAAGCCAATCCTGGCTTGGGACCCTGTGCGAAGCTAATTTCCGTTAGGGAAAGCCGAGAGGTCATGTTGTCTAGTGGGTTATGCCCAAGAATAAAAGCTAGTCACTAAATTATACGGAGAATATCTTGTAATCTGTAAATACCTGGGGAGAACCAAAGTGATGTATTTTAACCACTTGCTCTGCTCCAGAAAAAGTTTACAGCAGAGCTTGTTTAATGGCTGGATATTTTTCTACACAACCCGCCCAGCTCTTTCCCAAATGACACTGTGGCTGTGTTCACACGACCTGCAAAACACGGTCCCTGTACTGACCCATTTCTCTGCCTGTTCAGAAAACAGGATGATGATCCCACCAAACGGGTCGCCTTGATTCTGTACGCTAAGCTGCGAAAAGCAAAAGGTTAAACCAGACCTTCAGCCCGTTAACGCTGCTAAATTCTTCTGTAAATACAGGTAGTCCTCGGCTTATAACCATTCCTTTAGTGACTGTTTGAAGTTACAACAGTACTGTAAAATTAACGTACAACCATTTTTCACGCTTACGACCGTTGCGGCATCCCCAGGGTCACGTGATCAAAATTCGGATGCTTGGCAACTGACTCGTATTTAGGACCGTTGCCACATCCCAGGGTCGTGTGATCCCTCTTTTTCAGCCTTCCGACAAGCCAAGTCCATGGGGGTGGCCAGATTCACTTAACGACCGGGTGACTAACTTAACAACTGCGACAAGAAAGGTCGTAAAAATGGGGCCAAACTCACTTAACAACTGCAACAGCTTAACAACAGAAATGGTGGCTCGACTGTGGCCGTAAGTTGGGGACTACCTCTAATAGCCAGTGTCTCTGTGACACCAGACTGGCGCCCATCTGTAATGGCGGCCGGTGGGATTTCTCGTTCGCAGAGATTTGCTGGAAGGGTTGATTTATTTATTTCTACTTGAGTTATCAAATGTGTATGTCGCCCATCTCATGGTCAGGTGGATCTTGGTGATTTAAAACAGGGGTCCCCAACCCCCGGTCCGTGGACCGGTACCGGGCCACATCATGCCAGCAACCAGTCCACACAAACAAGCAAAGCCACATCCACAGGATGCAGGCAACACACAAAACCACGCACTCTCCAGTCTGTGGAAAAACTTCTCTCCACGGAACCAGTCCCTGGTGCCCAAAAGGTTGGGGACCGCTGGCTTAGAATGTCATAAAAGCAAAACATTAAACATGAACAAAACATGAGATAAGTTAGGAACCAATTCCAAATGGTTGCTCAAATTTCTTATCACATTGGGCACTTTTCCCAGCCATTCGTGGCTCGTGCTGAACAAAGGATTCTGAGAGTCGAAATCCAGCGTATACAGGTGTCCCAGGATGGGAAGGTTGGTATAAAGGCCTCTCCCCACACACTTCCTGCAGTTTTAGGGAGACCCACGGATTTGGGATACACTTTAAGAGGTGTTCAGGTCCCACATGAAAATAGCAATGATAATAATAAAGTTGGAAGGGACCTTGGAGGTCTTCTAGTCCAACCCCCTGCTCAGGCAGGAAACCCTATACCATTTCAGATAAGTGGCTGTTCAGTCTCTTCTCAAAAAATTCCAGTGTTGGAGCATTCACTGCTTCTGGAGGCAGGTTGTTCCACTGGTTAATTGTTCTAACTGTCAGGAAGTTTCTCCTTAGTTCCAGGTTGCTTCTCTCCTTGATTAGTTTCCACCTGTTGCTTCTTGTCTTGCCTTCAGGCGCTTTGGAGAATAGCTTGACTCCCTCTTCTTTGGGGCAGCCCCTGAGATATTGGAAGGCTGCTATCATGTCCCCCCTCATCCTTCTCTTCATTAAACTAGACATACCCAATTCCTGCATCCACAACTTTTGGAGGCAAGTAGTTCCACCAGCTGCTAATTGTTCTCATTGTGAGGAAATTTCTCCTTACTTTGATGTCACACACACACCCTTGTCCTTCTTAGACTAAGAGCTGGAAGGGCCCTTGGAGGTCTTCTAGTCCAACCCCCTGCTCAGGACAAGAGCCTCATACAGCGAGTGCTGGATTTACAACCACAATTGAGCAGAAAATGTATGTTGCTAAACGAAACCGTTGTTAAGTGAGACTCCCCCCCCATTTTACAACCTTGCTTGCCATGGTGATTAAGTGAATCCGGCTACCTCATTGACGTTGCTTGCCAGAAGGTCGCAAAAAAGGGGGATCACGTAATCCCGGGACTCTGCAACCGTCGTAAATATGAGTCAGTTGCCGAGCGGCCAAATTTTGATCCAATGACCGCAGGGAAGTTGCCACGTCGTAAGTGTGAAAAAAGATCACAACTCTGTCGGTAGGGCTGTGTATTTTGGACCTGGTAGAGTTGAGCTGCTTGTGAGAACAATCCGTGCTAAGGAGCCAAGTCCAACTTGTGTTACTCTGCACACTTTGTGACACAAGTCAGATCCCTAATTTTCTTTTTTG